GAACGTTGCATCAACGATGGAGAAAGAAAGAAAGAAAGAAAACTAGTACAGTACTACAGTAGCTGCGGGGAAAACAGGGCGATCACTCAGCGCACTGGTCCTAGAACACGGGGAAGAAACACGAGGGGAATGCTGGTCAATCTAATTAGATATGGAAGTTCCCGTCTTTCGTAAAGCTTAGCTTCAAGTAGGCGATGGATAGCATACCGGTATCCATTCCGCTGGCGCTTGTTTATCAAACAGCTATACCAACGATCCTTCAGCCAAACATCTCTGCAGGTTATGCGACTATTATCCTAGAAAGATACCTACATCCAACCAAAACTATGGCCCAACCCATGCGACTGGGCTTCATACAGCCGAACTAGAAGCCACGGTGATCACAAGGAGGCTGGCCAAGGAAACCAGAAGGTTGCGATTTCGCCAGAGCCCTCCGCTCGTGTGCATCGACCACGCTTCGCTGCTCGGAGTCGAGCTTTGAGGTTCAGATGAAGTGGTGTTGGACGCTGTAGACGTCGATCGCGTAGCCCACACAACCTTTGTTGTCGACGATATGGACGTTATGGTCGGTGTTGTCACAGACGATACTGCAACAACCGCTGCCTCGGACGCAGTGTTGCTTGTTGCCGAAGGGAGGGCCGTAATGCCCATGAGAACCGCATACTGGGATGCCACACCGATGGGGAAGTGTTCCAGATCGGTGGGCTCCCACACCACCGTCAACTGATCGTGCTCGATGAAAAGCTCAGGTGGCAGCGTCGTGTACACATCGGCCGTGGAGATGTTCGGATCGAGAAGAAAGGCCATGGGGGCCGTGATGCTCGACGTGCACAGGTAATCGCCGTCGCCCCATAGACGAGAGAATCCGCTGGCTTTGTCAATATGTTGCCGAAAAGGGGTCAGGGAGAGCTAACGGACCTCTGGCAACAGGCTGCGGTCCAGGCTGTCCTTCCATCGTGGACACCGTAAGTGTGCTGGACAATTTGCATATTATGAGGGCATATGCCCGGGCTGAAGGTAGGATAGGTGGTTGTGTACTGTGACGGGATGCATTTGCTAAAGGACGGGTCGATCCAGCCGCTGCTGGGCGGGATGATGCTCGTTCCCGGCGCTTTATCGTCGACGAAGACGGCGTATCGGTCAGAGCACCAAGGAGAGGGCGTGAAGACTGTTGTTAATGCTGCCATGACGATCGAGTGGGTGTCAGTATTGCGTAGATATCTGCTAGGAGACGTATGGAAATGAATATTCGATCAAATTCATGATAGTGTCGTCTTTTAGCGTGCTATGACTGTTATCACGGCTGTTAGGTTTTTTTAAAGTAAGTACCTCGCAGTCAAATATCCTGTTTCGTGTAGGAATAATAGATACCGGCACTGCCGAGACAGGAGAGCTGAAGCGACCAATCGCAATTTCCATCTTCCTCTACCTCAAGGGCGTTTGTAGCAAATAAAGTTCATTGAGGTGTCACAAGCCCGGCAGGGAGGACAGCAATTTGTGCCACCGCCGCATCGCTGTGGGCGAGGCCGCCCGTTCCTTTCTTCATCCCAGCCATCCTGACTGCCTGCTCCATGTTATGATAGAGTAATGTAGCAGCAAAAGTGCAGGTGCGACGCATTCACAGAGGATTACCTACGCGGCCTATGCAATGTGAGGAGATGACAGCTGGAGACAGAATTCGCGCCGATGCACACTTAAGTTGTCCAGTTAAATGGGGCACCATCAGGTTCTTCCAATTCTACCCGCGATAGCACCATAAAAGTATACCCCGCTTATCAGTATATAAGATTCGGCACCGTTATCACCCGTCTTACCATTATCTATATTATCTTCGAACAACCTTGAAGCATTTAACGGACGTTGAGATCTGAATTTACCCAGATACCTAAATATATGCTGCTTGGGCCTCAAATCTCGATTGTTACTCATCTAGGCAACTATATCGAAGGATGGCGCCCGTTCACAAGGTCGCATTAGTTCAACTTTATCCCATTGTGAGTAATCACGATCTTCTAACGCCGAGTTTCAATAAATATTGAAATAATCGAGCGTTGAGGTGTTTCTATTGTCTCTACGGAGTAGTCATAGATTGTTTCGTCGCACCGGCCGTGTTATCATGTTCAGCCCCTCATCCTCTCCTGACGGGTCTAGAGGCATATATATATCACTCTGTGACCTGATACATATGTGAGAGGCGCGATATGTACTGATGCTTGATACAGCCCCTATCGCCCTCTAAAAACTTCGAGAAGGCTGCTTCATTCATAAGAGATGCAGCTGCGAAAGGTTGCCACCTAGCAGTATTACCAGAGTATCATCTCACTTCATGGGTGCCAGACGAACCGGGGTTTAAAGATGCATGTAACGAGTCTCTGCCATATATACAGAAATATCAGGACTTGGCCAAAGAATTGAAAATCTGCATTGTCCCGGGATCCATCATCAAACCGGATCGCGACACTCTGCTGAATATCGCCTACTTCATCTCATGGGACGGCATTATTGCCGGGCACTACCAGAAGAAGAACCTATGGCATCCTGAGCGCCCTCATCTCGAGTCATCCGCTCACGAACCTCACAGAACCTTTGATACTCCTCTCGGCCGTGTGGGCCTGTTGATCTGCTGGGACCTGGCCTTCCCCGAGGCATGCCGCGAACTGATCCGCGACGGCGCCAAGATCATTTGCATACCGGCCTTTTGGCTCATGCGCGATGTCCCCGATGAGGGCTATGCCTTGAACCCAGAGGGTGAGGCCGTGTTCTTAAATAGCACAGTCGTCGCTCGTGCGTTTGAGAACACTTGCGCTATTGTCTTTGTCAACGCTGGCGGCCCGCCAGAGGAAGGCGAGAATTCAGTTTACGCCGGTCTGAGCCAGGTTGCCGTCCCGCACCTTGGCGCTCTAGGACGGCTCGGTGGTGCTGAGGGTATGTCTATCGTTGACTTGGATATGCACGTGCTCGACGTTGCCGAGGATAGTTACAAGATTCGGGCGGATTGTAAGTGCACGATCTCATATAATCGAGTGTTATGCATCTTCATTCAATACTTTGATTTAGCCAAAGCGATCACTGATATGGCTTGCTTTGATAGTGCAAAAGAATTCCTGGTATAGAAGCACCCAGGACTAGAAGCTTTGGGATCTGAATATCGAGTCCTCCGATTAGCAAGTATCCTTGTCGCGGCAATTATAAACAGTAGTAAATGAAGGAAATACTTACCATGAACATCGACAACACTTGGTTCCTGCAGCAGAGGGAGAAATCCGACGTCTGCCAAATAAGGATTATACTGCAATTAGCATATGCGCGGAGCTTATATGTCGGAAGAGCGGTCAACCCAGCTCGGCATGCATGGGTAATTACAGGTGCAGTTCTATCTGTTTTTGCAACAGGACTGATGGTAGAAAGTATTCTTCTGCTATTGTTCATTTACTCCGTATATAGCAAGGTCGAGATTCACGAGACCTATAACGAAAGCGTCGATTTGTTCTAATAGAAAGAGTCCATATGCATCGCCGGTTAGCTGCTATTCCCACAAGCATTTGGTTTCCGTTCTGATGGCAATAGCAACTTTTGGTATTCAATTGCTGCACCTCGAAGCACGACCATATCGGGCCCTAGTATCATCTTATCGCGTCTTTCTACTCTACCTCTACAAGTTGGCTTTAAGTAAATCGACAAGCTCACACGTCGGGTTATGAGATTGTCCAGTTGTGATCCACGACAAAGTCGGACCGGAAACAGAATACGAGGTTTGCCAACATATAGCCCAATTATCTGCCAAAATCTGTCAGCAAATCCATCCCTCCCTCTCTCACATTACTCATCGTCCAGACTTACAATAGTCTATATCCAAACTCACATTCGCCGGCTGGCCATGAACATAAGTCGCGTCATCAGTGTAATAATCAAGAAACGCCTTCCCCTCCCCGTCAAAGCCCGTAAGATCAACAACGCTCGCGCCCGTGCCCAGCGCCGGCAGCGCGACATTGGTATTCGGCCTGTACGTTAGCGCCATGGCCTTACCCATCAGGCCGTAGGAGTTCGGCTCTCCGACCGTGATGTCCGATACGAAAAACCCGAGCTCGTTGGCGCCTGACTGCATCCGTCCCGTGTAGTTGAAGTAGAACCGGTACGACGAATTGTCGGCTACCGGGGCGGGGGAGCTTGCGTCGTAGTGTAGGACGAGCTGCTCGTTGGGATAGGAGGGCGTGGTGACGGCGTGTAAGTACCCTAGCGTGAGAATTTAGTAAGGGACGGTTTTGGAAAGAATCCAGGATGTAGAGACTGTGTCGCACCGTTTATAGAGCTGTTCTCAGAGCGGCCTTTTACTTGAAGGACAAATGGGCCGTCTGCTATCAAGGTAGGGATATCATCTCCTTGAGCTACGACGCTAGCAGCAGCAAGCAAGGCGTACAATCGCAGAACAGTTTGAGTCTTCATCGTGGAGAGACAGATAATGGTGGAATTACGATGACAGGAAACTGGGAAACAGCTAATAAGACTTGATGATGCCAAAATCAATATATAATAGACGCCATAGTATGCGTTTATATCTATATAGACCTCTCAAATTCTTGAGCTTCATAAAAGTCGAACTTGGGAGTGTCGGATAAGCCCCTGCGCCTTGCTGCTTACCACCGCCAATTCCTTCCAGGCTGCCACTTACTGACCTATCGGGTTGATTGAATTAACTTCATCAGTGAGAATCAATTCTTATTTGGTGATGCATACGGAGTAGGATGCGCATTTATGTAGCTCTCGTCTGTTAATTAAACGGTGTGCAGTTTGTTGATCGTAACATTGTACGGAGTATCTTCCTATTAAATCAGGCACCTATCTTTCGTCTCGCCGAACTAGCCACTTAAGACTAACTAGCACTAACTATAATAGCAACTGAGTCAGTAATAAAACTAAATACCTATCTAGAACGCAGGGTCGCGGCGGGGATAAAAGAGACCACTAACTAGGCGTAAAACGAGCAAAAAAGAAAGGTCAGATGCCTCCATCCCGGATCGAACGAGAGACCTTGCCATGAACTCGAAACTATTATTTGTTTACGAGTGGCACGCGCTACCACTACGCCATAGAGGCTGATCTTAACCGATTGATGGAAGACGCATTCGAAATTCTCTCTAAAACGGAAGGCAGCAGTGGAAGGCGCATTCGCCGTCACGGATCTCCCACCACGCACTGTTTTCCGTGCTCTCTGCCGCACAATCTTCAAGAAGTGATTTCGCTAGGCAGCTTCAATCATGGTGAACTGAGCTGCGCTACACTGGTGACGGCCATTAGGTAAAAGTAGCAGCGGTTCCAATGCATGTTAACGTATTGAGCTGTTCCAAGCTTTGAAAATCAGAATTTGCGACCGTATGCCACCTCCCTAGCTGGACGAAGTCTGACGCACGAGCAACGTCAGAACTTAGAAGATGATGGTGTGCATAACGCTAAATTCTACAAAATGCAGCGTGCATGAGCCTAAGTACCTAAAGCTGCGGATTTTCGGGATACAGCGACCATACAACATCTGAAAGTCTCACGCCGATACTGATAACAGAGCCTGTTGATTGACAACCCAGCTTCCAAGGTTCCAGCAGCATCTTCCTCTGCTTATGGCGACGAGGATGATAATTTATCACTTTTAGTAATTACTCTCTAGACTTTCCCCGGCCTTGAATCCTCGGCAAAACTCGCCCGCCTAGGGCGCATCTTATTTCTTTCCGCATTTTGCAGGCTATACTCGTTCTGCAGCGCCTGTTTCTCATGGCTCAGCCAGAAACGCCAACCAGCCAGAACAGCGAGCGTCAAGGGCACGCTGACAACCCAGAAAATCCAAAAGTCTGGCACCACGACTACCGGCTCCGTGGAACGCGTCGATGCTTGCCAATCGAACATGGACATACTGAACAATGTCTGTGAATATATTAGCGGCCTTTTCTATGTGCAGGCCGCAGGCGCGACATCACGTACCGCTACGAATGTTGGTGGCAGGAAGATAACCGTGACATATGCCAGTGTCTTCATTGCTGTGCCGTCGAGGCCTGCACGGTAGGCCATGCGCGCATTCATATCGTTATCAACTTGCGCTACAAAGTTATACAACTGGCCACGATGCCGCCGTTAGTATATATACTTAATGCATTCCATGTTGGTTGGGTGGCCTCGGTCTTACTACACTGAGCTGCAACTCAAGCCGCGATTTCCATCTTTCAACGTTGGTGTTCATAGTCGTGCAATTGACGATCAGACAATCTAAGTATTCCTCCAGTTGCCTATCCTCGTTCTTATCGGGGTGAGGATTCGACTTCCGCACGATATCCCGGTACTTAACGAGAAACTCGCAATGTTGACTGATCCATTTCAATATCGTCTGGAAAGCCATGGCATCGGTGATTCGCGAATTTAGCTCTGCAGTCAGATTCATGCGGGCCTGGCGATCTGCAATCAGTCTTTGGATCGCCTCGAACGTTTTCGCTTCTCTCCATGATAGAGTCGCTGATTTTGTGATGCCCAGTTCCTTTTCGATATGGGTGACCCGTGCCGATAACTTGGCTCGGAAACCATCTGCTCTGGATATGTGCTCGGCCAAGAACACTATCGGTAGGAATAATGGGTGAGACCAGAAGCGCTCTGCCGGCCGGATGTGCTTCTCCATCTCACCGAAAAATGAGATGAAACTTTCAGTTTGAGGAATTGCATCCGTTTGCGAGACCATGTCCCAGCCATGAGCAAAGCATACAGCCTTTCTCGTGGAAAAGTCGTATCTCATGGAAAAGCCACAGTTGCCTATTTGATACATCTCCGGCCATTTCACAGTGAATTCTGATGCGAAAGCGTTAGCTACCTGATGCAAGTAACCCAGGGCGCCAATGGATGTTACCTAGGCTTTCCAACCGATCGCTTCCACCCAAGTACTTAAGGCAACATGATTGCTGGCCGCTATTGTTGGAAATCAGAGGGAGAACTTGGTGTCCGAGGCCGAATTTCTCTTCTAGCGCGATGTACGACGAGCCCGACATGGCAAACCCCAGTGGTTTCCATCCTACCCGATCGCATAGCAAAAGCCGAATTGTCGGCACCGATTTGGACACGAATTTGCCGCGTTGGCAGAGCCAGTCTTCCAATTCATGGTCCTGTAGGTAGCCATGTAGAAGCTCATCTGGTGAGAGGTTACCTTCGAGACAATTAGCATCCGGCTAGCAATTAATTCGCGTCGCGTCGCATTTGAGATTCCTACTCGTGTCCCTGCCGGGATGTTTCGCTGTCTCGATGTAGGCGAGACCTCCCCAATCGGGGAGCCATCTGCTGTTTTCGAAAATTCGCTGGCTTTGTAATCTGAACATCGAATGCCTGCCTTTCAACTACAATGCGCTGGAAGTCTGCGAAATGTTTAGGGCGAGTGCCGTGAGACGCGGATTGCCAAGTATATACCTGCAGACTCGGTATTTAGACGATGACAGTGAAGCTGATCCCTTCTCATTAGCCGCATTAGGGCTGAATAGCCACCCGTAAGGAGCTCATAGTATGCGCCAAGCTGCACGAAGCTACTGATTTAAGGACCCAATAGACACGATTGTAGATCAATGTATATCTATGCATGCTACTTGGCACATCAACTTCTGAATGCATCATTTCATTGCTCAGCTATTCAGACCTAGACAGCTTGAGGAGCCAGCTAGGTACCTAAAATTACTGACCACGAGTTGGATGGTTGGTAGTAGACTACGGGTCTTGAATGTCGTATGTATGTATGTACTGTACCTACGGTGGCTGAAAAGCTATGTTGGCCTCTTTTGTCTTATGCAGAGTGAAAAACAAGGGCGACAAGTAATTCCTCCAATAGATATGCCTAGACTAACGCAGTTATGAGAATGAATCCATATACGCATATACAGAGGCAAATACACAAGTAAGACACTTCCCAAGGTGTGACTCAAGTGCTGGTTGGGCGCTAGTGGGTCGCATTTTGGATAGAAGCGGTGTTGCCCATTAATTCCTTAATCACACGACCTAACTGGACGTCCAGATGTCCTGATACCGCCACTATTGCTGTTGTTGTTGATGACGATTGGATAAATTCCCGGTAGAGATGTTGAATATGGGGCAGATTCGAGTGAAATGTAGCTGGATCTACTTTAGCATACCGTACACACAAGGGCAAGTGACGTGTCGAAATTTGTGAGTGTATTTGGAAACTTACTCGATTATGATTAGGGACGCCGACACCACCCGGGGCTGGCTTTTCCGTCTAGTAGTAGAACGTTAAGGTACGAGCACTGCTGGATCCCTCAACTACCCACCCCCGGACGCGATCGCGCCGGAACGGGAACGCTAGAACGCTATCAGTACGATTGACACAATAAGGGGACGCTATAGGCTAAGGATGATGTCACGGTACCTACCTAGAGGTATATAAGGAAGTGCAAACGATCAAGCGTCCGACTTGACAACGTTCTGCTTTTGCCGGTAGTGTAGCGGTACAGCGTTGTACTTCTGTTCCGTCACAGATGATTCTTAGTAAGTTCATCAACTAGCTCCATGGCGGCGCGGAGAACGAGCATGCCGTCCTCCAGCTTCCGGACTCGTGACTCTGAATCACGGATCGCGGCGCCGGCGACGAGTTCAACGTCCGGTGGCGTGGGGTCCCTTGGCGCGAACCAGCGTTGTCGTGAGGACCACGACTTAATTCGTCCGAACAATCCTGAGTAGTGGGCTAAATGGAGAAGAAGAGCCAATGTGGCAATGATGTTCGAATAAATATCCGTAGCCGACAACATATTGCAAAGTAAGTTCCGAACAGATCTGAAGAGCAAGGGAAAAAAACAGCAGAGCATTAACTCCGAATCACGAGTCCCGGTGCGAGCGACGAGCTCGATGTCCGGTGGTTCCCATGGGGCGAACCACCTCTGCCGCTTCGACCACGATCTAATGCGTCCGAAAAATCCGAGGAAATCTCCGATATGGAACAGAAGCGAGAGTGTAGATGTCACAATCGAATATATCTCCGTAACAGACAACATATTGCAGGTTAGCTTCTTAGCAGATCTGAGGAGCGAAGGGAAAAGAACAGCAGAGCATTCAAAATAATCGCATAAATCTCCAGTGTAGACATATTGAAAACTAGCCTTTCAAAAGATTTGAAGAGCGAAGGGAAAAGAACAGCAGAGCATTCAAAATAATCACTGCACTACCTATATTCTTCTGGGTCATTTGTCCCTGCCGCTAGGGAGGGAATATCTGGTGATTACTCCGTAATGGAAAGAGAAACACCAGTTTGATGGCAAGAAGAACCAGAGCTTGAATGACGTGTGGGCTGTGTATTTCTCTTTGGAAAGGACATATCCTGTTCTGAACCGCGATAGCCAAAAACCTCATGTTAACGGCCCACCAGTGTAGATAGACATCCCGCACGGAGCCGGCCAGGTAGACCACTTTCCCCTTTAACAACAACATTGCTACCTTCGCTACCCAGAACAGCCCCGTTGAACTTTATTTACAGCCTTAGACATGCAATAAAGCGTAGCTTCACGACACACTCTCTATTTAGGGTTTCTCTATACTTTATGTCGGGGAATTCTAATTACCTATACACACTGCGGCGCGATCGCCCGCTGAGTGGTCCTTGTAATTGATCTTATATAAATAAGTCCCCTAGATCTCTTTTGCACTCGGGGAGTCCCAAAATCAATTAATATTTCTATTAGACTCTACCTAATACCCTGTCGGTCCCAAGCTCCTATTCATTATGCGGCAGAAACTGCGGACAGATCTAAACAGTCTATTTATTTCATTGTCGGCTATCGTCCGAAATCTAGTCGAAAAGGATATAGTTTCACCTTCATTCCCAGTCATTGGGCAACTGCAACATGCAGCTTTCGCACCCGATGCAAAAAACCGTCAATCACTCAAACGCCAGTATGCGAAACGCGAAAATAGCCAATATCGCACTTGCTATTATCCTGAGATCACTATGGAAACGGCCACACAAACAGCAAAAAAACTCCGAAGACTATCTGTTACAGCTACCGGTTGAGTTAGTTCTTTGTATTACTGATTTCCTCAATAATTCCGATCTTATCTTGTTTTCTCAAGTA